TCTATGCTGCTGGAGTTTTCAGTAAAGAAAGATATGCAACTATGAAGCCTCCTGTCATGTGGTAAAATTGGGCCCAATTTTTGGACATTTCCACTTATGGGTGTACTGAACTTTGCCACTGACTTTTGGAGGGGCCTGTTTGCCAGTCTCCTACCTTGTGACTATGGCCCCTGTGTTAAACCTGGCTTCAGGACTGTGGAATGGCTTTGTTCATGCCTTTTCCCCTCTACGGTTCAGTATATGGGGCTATAGTATAGTTCAGTATATTGGGCTATAGTCGAACGCGTCCATCAGTGTTTTGTCATTGAGCACATGGAACTAAAATCAGACACTCGACGGCACAAACACCGCTGTGATTTCCACCTCCAGTTAGGTTAGACTAGAATTGCACGAATGGAGCACCGTTCGGTAGAAATAATCTACAGAACCAGATATACTCACTGACTCTGTGCACGAACAGCTCTGTTCGACTATTTGAACATTACTTCGACTGTTGGAAATAGACCAGCCGCACAGTATAATTCTCTGGAATTATTTTGGGCATGAAACCATATGTGCAGTCGGTCAAAAAAAAAGACTTCTCAAAATTTCCTGAATCCCTTCTCTGATCTGGGTGATTTTTGGATAGGTTGTTCACCCAGATCAGGGCTATCAGGGGATATGTTGTGTTTTGGGGTACTTATGACACTTTATAAAAATGTATGTTTTTCTGCATGGAGATAATGGAGTTACATACAAAACTTGACTCAATTATCTCACAGGATGAGGGGAGCGATTGTGTGTAATGTGTGAGAGGGTCACCTACTGCATTATCATTGGCTTGTAACAATTGTCATCCTGTCCCGCACAAGGTCCACGTGGGTGTTCCCTTGCATCGGGATTTGCATAAAATGCCAGCTGTGGCTCCCAATAAACAAGATACTTTTCCCCTTCATGAAGTCTTGGCTTATGATTGGGGGATTGGAGAACTAAATTCACTCTGGGGATTGCTATAATCACAATACTCCCCTGAGTATAATCACTAGCTCTTCTAAGAGCTGTTCCTGCTACGCTCTTTGGACTAAGGAGAGGTCTACCCATTGGAAGCTGGATCCTGGTTTTGGGTCCAGGGTGGGTGGAGGGCGACGACACCCCAACCAAGCTGCAGCGGTTCGGGGGGGTGGTTACAGTGGTTATGGTGTTCCAGTGTGGTGCTTATGGTACTCACCAGGACTAGGAAGCAGTTTAATGGAGGTGCTTGGTTGGGGTGCCAGGCGGTCGGTCACATTTGGTGGCAGTAGTGGGATGACTTCCTAGTGAGTATAGAAGCATCCTAGAGTCACCAGTGTCATATGGATTTAGGGTAATGACTCGTACCGGGCACTGTGGTGGTACGCAGTCCAGCAAAACACTTGGTTGGCAGAGGGCGTTCAGCCAGAGGGGGAGGGCTACTATGGCCCCGGCCTGTTCTTAAGAGCCATGGAGGAGGACGATGACTTTAGAAGTCGAGGTTCTGGGCTATTTATTGTTACCGGTAAAAAATTCTGCTGTTCCCAGGAGCTATTGAGCTGGTTACTAGTGAGTGGGAACTAGAGCAGGACTACCAACACCTGCTCAGGTCAATTCGGCCCCAATCTACCCGGACCAGGCAGCGTTACTGGGTGTCGAGACCGTCAGTTTGACTCCCCAGCAGGAGTATGGGTCAAAGGGAGAAAAGACAACCGGTCTCTCTCTCCAGCGGCAGCCGGAATTACCGGGAGAGGAGATTGCCGGACCCTCAGCTGAGCAGCAGCAAGCATCCCTGGGAGTAGAGATAGTCGGTCTCACTACCCAGCACCAGCCAACATTACAGGAAGAAGAGATTGTCAGTCCCTCATCTCAGCAGCAGCCAGCAGTTCAACACGTGATGGCGGCCATCTTGTTTAATCGAACGCGTCCATCTGTGTTTCGTTGTTGAACGCATGGAACTGAAATCGGACACCGCTGGGACTTTCACCTCCATCTAGGTTTGGCTAAATATGCCGAACATACTTCAACATTGACTTTGTGCATGAACGGTCCCATTCAACTATTTGAAGTGCACTTTAATAATTGGAAATGGACCGGCCGCACAGCCTAATTCTCTGGAACTATTTTGGGCATGAAGCCATGCTTGCGGCCGGTGAAAAATAGACTTCCATGAAACTTTTGTACCCCTGCTCTGATTTGGGTGATTTTTGGATATGTTGTTCACCCAGATCAGGGCTATCCGGGGATGTATTTTGGGGTATGTTATGTTTTGGGGTACTTTCTGAACTTTGTAAAAATGTGTTTTTTTCTGCCTGGAGATAATTGAGTTACTTACAGGACTTTACTCTATTAACTCCCAAGCAGAGGGGAGGGATTGTGTGCTGTACATGGGAGTGTCACATACTGTATGTTTGTACTGATTGGTTTGTGTCCTTTGTGTTCCTATGCCCCATCAGGTCCAGGGAGTGTTCCTCTGGCCTCAAGAATTGTATAAAAGCCAACTTGAACCATTAAAGCTCAGATCATCTTGCACCTTCGTGAAGTCTTGGCTCATGATTGGGGGATTGAAAAACTACACTCTGGGGATAGCTAGAATCACTATACTCCCCGAGTATAATCACTAAGCTCTTGTAAGAGCTGTTCCTGCTACGCCAAGAGAGGAATACCCACTGGAAGCTGGTGGAGGACGACAAGACCCCAACCAAGCTGCGGTGGTTCATGGAGTTTACGGTGGTTATTGTGTTCCAGTGCAGTGCTTATGGTACTCACCAGTACTAGGAAGCAGCAATTGACGGAGGTACCTGGTCGGGGTGCCAGGCGGTTCGTCACAATGACAGCAAAAAGATAAAGTAGGGCTGCGCCAAATAAGGATAGATAGTCCAGTAAAAATTTCACTAGGATACTAGTGGATTATTATTATTATTATGATATTTATAGAGTGCCATCAAATTCTGCAGCGCTTTACAATGGGTGGACGAACAGACATGTAGTTGTAACCAGACAAGTTGGACACACAGGAACAGAGGGGTTGAGTGCCCTGCTCAATGAGCTTACATGCTAGAGGGAGTGGGGTAAAATTACACAAAAAGGTAAGGATAGTATTAGACTAGTGACAGTTGCAGATGAGGAATCAGTCAGGAGCTATTAACAGTTTAATTGATACGCTTTTATGAAGAAGTGGTTTTTTAATGATTTTTTGAAGAAGTGGAGACTGGGTGAGCATCTAACGGAGGAAGGAAGCGAGTTCCACAGGAACGGTGCAGCCCTCGAGAAATCTTGAAGACGAGCATCAGAGGTGGGAGTACGGACAGTAGATAGACATAAGTCTTGAGCAGATCGTAAGGGCCTAGACAGGACATACTTGTGTAAAAGGGAGGATAGATAGGTGGGAGCAGCATTATGTAGAGATTTGAAAGCAAGAACCAGAATTTTAAATTGAGCTCTATATTTTATAGGAAGCCAATGTAGGGACTGACAGAAGGGTGAGGCATGGGAGGTATGGGCGGACAGGAAGATGAACCTCGCCGCCACATTCATTATGGACTGTAACGACGCAAGTTGGGAGCACGTAAGACCACTGAGAAGCGGATTACAGTAGTCAAGGCGAGAAAGGACAGTGGAATAGACCAACACCTTAGTCGCATATGGTGTTAAGTAGGGGCGGATGCGTGCAATGTTTTTGAGATGGAAATGACAGGATTTGGCGATAGATTGAACATGAGGCGTGAAGGAGAGGTCGGAGTCAAAAAGAACACCTAGGCAGTGAGCCTGCGTGGTGGAGCTGTTAGTAGCACCGTTGACTTGGAGGGAGACAGACACAGGAGTAACAACACTTGAGGGAGGAAATACCAGAATTTCAGTTTTGGTCAAGTTTAGTTTAAGGAAGTGGGCAGCCATCCAGTTAGAAACAGCAGAGAGGCAGTCAGAGACACTAGTCAAGAGGGACGGGGAGAGATCAGGAGAGGACAGGTAGATTTGCGTGTCATCTGCATAGAAATGATATTAGACGCCAAAGGAGCTAATGAGTTTACCAAGAGAGGCAGTATAGATGGAGAACAGTAGAGGACCAAGGACTGAACCTTGGGGGACACCAAGAGAGAGGAGTTGGGGAGAAGAAGCAGAGCCAGAGAAAGAAACACTGAAAGAGCACTGGGAGAGGTAGGAGGAGCACCAGGAGAGAGAAATATCTTGTAGACCAATATTGCGGAGGATGAGAAGAAGCTGTTGATGATCAACAGTGTCAAAAGCCGCAGACAGGTCAAGGAGAATTAGGAAAGAGTAGTGACCACGAGATTTTGCAGCGAGTAGATCATTGGATACTTTGGTCAGTGCCGTTTCCAGAGAGTGCTTAGCGCGGAAACCAGACTGAAGCGGGTCTGGCAGAGAGTTGGACTCGAGGAAGTCTGTCAATCTCGCATACACAATTTTTTTAGGATCTTGGATGCAAAAGGCAGTAGCGAGATAGGATGATAGTTGGATGGGGACTTTTGGCATGATCTCTAATCTAAAACTAAATATGGTACTCCATCTCTCACTTTCCCTCGGGTCTTCGGCCCACCTACACTCTCAATGCTCTTTCACCTGGTGTGACAGTAAGCTTTGCGACCTTGATATCTGACTCTTAAGGGATCTCACACCGCTACATCAGTTGAATTTTCTCCCGATATGAAACACGTTGCAATCCGACCTACAACGCTGCACACCTCATTTTATATCCTGGTTTGGCCACATCAATGCAGTCAAAATGAACGTCCTACCGTGACTCCGATATTTGCTTCAGACCATACTGGCGACAATCAATGGTTTGAATGGAACCAGCGAACCAC